GCTCATCCATGTGTTTCTGATGATGGCAGCAGGGCTAATAACTCAGGGAAAAGCAACTCCTTGTCACAACAGCATATCCACAGCCTTACAAAAACAAACATTTGGAATAAGCCACGTTGTTCATTTCTTACCTTTAGCGTGAGCCAAGTCCTCATCACGTGGTGCTGTTGCCTTTCTTACAGAACAGTAGAGCTCAGGGATTGTAGAACTGCTGCTTTTTCTTGGTGGGCTGCAGCAGCTCCTCTCCTCCTACAAAGGCCAAACCACTGCCCTTTCACTGCTGCCTTTTATACCCCTCTGCAGCCCACCACCCTCCCAGGTGTGAGACTGCCATGCTGATGGCTTGTTCTTTAACCCTTCCTTCTCCACATGTTAGGAGGAGCCTACCCTGCTAGAGTGTACACTACCTTTGCTAGAAAACTGGGGCTTTTAAAGAATCCATCAAACAAATCTTAGCTTTTTTGTGGGTAATTTGATGGTGTCCTTTCAGAGAGCTGTCCTGAGTTTTAGTAAATCAACAAATATGCAGCTCACGTTGGGTGTACTCTACTGCCCTTGCTTTCTGTTTCTTTCTGAAATCCTGAAGTGTTCCAAGAGTGTTTTCTTGCTTAGTGCTTGTACATCTCTTCTATGTGTATTTTCACTAACATCATTTCCTGTTGATTCATGTAAATAGTACTCCAGCAATGGTATGTGGAGTGGAAAAATGAATCAAACTGGGCGGTCCCCTTAATGGGTGATCTGTTTTGTAATAATTTCTACAAAGGAATTTCTCCAAGGAAACTGTTTGCTTTCTTCCCAAACACTTTGTTGCCTAACTCTTGGTGAAACAAAACTCAGTCTTTATAGCTCATCTCAAAAGTGTTCCAACTTGCAGTCCAGTCCCCACATCCTCTGTTTGTTCAACGTTCCCTGGGAAGCTCCACCCTCACTTCCAGCTAATACCCACGCTAACCCGTGGCTTCATTTTCCCATTTTCTCCTTCACGCTGCCACCAGCCTTGCTGGCAGTGATCGTCCATACGTGGTGGTGGTGGCAGCCCAGGACTTCTCCCATCAAGCAGCCTCTTCTGCTTGCAGTGAAGCACAGCATGATCGTGGGGACAGTCCTCTTCCAGTCCAGCAGCTATGGCAGAGAGGGCAAGCTGCTCTGCTGCCTTGGCGAGGAAGCCTCTGAGCCTGGCGTGTCGAGTTTCACAGGTATGATGCCCAGGGATGTAATGCTGTGCCATCCCTTTCCTGTATTATTTCTCTGAGGGCTTCTTCCAGGAAGATTGATGCCCAGGGATGTAATGCTGTGCCATCCTTTTCCTGTATTTCTCTGAGGGCTTCTTCCAGGAAGACGTGGGTCCTTTTGAGTCTATCTTTGCCTTGTAGTATGAGACCGGCCACAGGCAGGACTGAGATTACCTGCTTTTACCTGGGTTTTAGGATAATTGAAATGCTTCATTTTTATGAGCAGTTAAACAGTATTTCAGAAGTGGAGACTGTTTCAGCACTTAATGTGATTCTAAAATTTAGCATATTCTACCTTATACTCTTGGACTGAAGAGATTGGTAATTGTTATGTTGGCAACTGAGGGTGGGAGAAGAAACACCCCTCACATGTTGGCTGAATAGGAAAAGCATTCATATCCGGAGAGAAGCAAATTGTATTGTGGGAATAAAGGAAAGGAAGGAGATGGATGAAGCAGAACCTCCTCACACGATTGTGTATTAACCCGTAGACTAAATGATGATGTAAGGTTTCCATTGTATAGGAAATGAAAGTGGTCATATATGATTTATGGTTAGCCTTTAAAAGGAGCTGATATAAAACAAAACTTCCCGGCTCATTTCCTTACTCTTGGTGTGAGTAGAGCTTGCAGACTATCCAGTTGGAGGGGTATCATTTGTGAAACACTTTGGTGATCTTATTTTCCTTAATGAGGTCTATGGCATTATCATGTTTCACTGACCTTCCATATCCTTCCATTCTGGATGGTATAGATCCCACAGTGTATTGAGCAGCATAGGTTATTATGTCATAATAACCTGCAATAGGTACTCTTATACCCTGATAAATTCCCCTTTAGTAGGTATTGGGTAACCTTTACAGTTACTTAAGCATCCAAGTCACTCTAAAAAGGAAAGCGAAGGAAGCTAGTGAGACATGAACTCTTAAAAGCATTTTTTAGGCAATGTGATTTTTCAGTAGGCACTATCGCTAAGTGATTGAAGCTCCTCATCAAACATTAACTTCTGCTGCCTTTTTTTTTTTTTTTTTTTATACATAAAGTGGGTGTTAAGAACATGTGCCAGCCTCCCAGGCGTTCCCGAGGAAGCGGTAGTAGCCCCACATCTGCTTTGAATCCTCCCTGGCGAAGCGGCGCGGCACCACAAACGGTTTCATGTGGGCAGAGCTGCTCGGCGCTAAGCAGCAGGTGGCATTTCTGCTGGTTTTGCCTTGGCTGGAGTGCCTGCTGCTGGGCTCAGCGTGGGCAGGCTGAGCTGGCCATGGGCTTTGCTGCTGCAGCAGCTCTGAAGCTGAGCTGATAACTGGTCTGTCTGCTTCAGGCTTTCCCATCCAGCGCATGGTTAAATGCTTAACTCTCTTCTCTCTGTTAAATAGGGGTCGGATGCTCAGTTCGTGAGCTTTTCTGGCTTGAGAAAGAAACTTAAAAGTATGCTTTGATTTAGAACGAGTGCATATATTTTTGTTTAAAGCATTTCACATTTCAGCAGTTTAAATAACTTCTTGTTTTCAGTTATTTAACAGCAGTAAGGTATTTCAGAGCTGAAAGGTCAGATATTTTTTGGAAAGACCACCTACTTTTGTGTTTGCTCCTTAGCAAAGATGCGTAAGGCAGATTTCTTGTGTAGCACATTTGCTGAGTGACTTTGCTTAAGGCACTGAAACACTCTAACACAAGACACTGTAGAAGTACAGAGAATGTATTATTTAATTAAATATGTATTTTTACTGCATAAAGAGAGCTGGATTTAGGAGCTGGTGTTCTTCCCTCGCGCTTAACAACTGGACATGCATATGCACACACCCAGCCCTAAAAAATTACAGTGGGTTGTTGGCAGCCACGTTATAATGTAAGTAGCTGAGTAGACACTGGGATTTCCTCTCTTTTCCATGATAGCACACAGTCTGATGGGTTAGTATATTGTAAAACTAATTGCAGCTAATGGTTAGGAACAAGAAGCATATGTAAACGCTGCAGATAATGAAATCAAAGAAATGACATTTTGGTAGCCTGGTTTCTAGTCATTTCTGTTCTTGCTAGAACAGAATAGGGTGCTTGGTAGGGTGCTGCTTTGGCAAGGCCTGGGAGGTAAGTTATGAAGTAATTGCAAGAGGAGCAGGTTGTGCAAGGCAGTATAACTGAACCATTACCAGAAATGCAATCAAAAGCCACTTAGCTATGTGTTTAAAAACAAAACAGAACAAACCTCAACCATTTACTTTCTCATGTACCTACAGTTCAGTCAAAAGATTACATGGAGATGCTGGGAACCCCCCTGTGTCCTTGTTTTCTGGGCTTGAGCTTTGTCCTGTGACACAGATTTGGCACATACTTGCCTATTACTTGGCACAGGCCTTTTCCTGTTTTGTGTCTCGCTGACTTCCCATTTTTCTTGTCCTGTATTTTCTTGTCCTGCATTTGTTTTAAAGTATCTTATAGACCAGCTCTTGCTCACAAATGTAAATCTCATGGGAGTGCAGGGAGGGGGGGTATTATATACACACATTCTCTGGCAGTGGTCTGCCTGAAAACATCCTGAGCCTGACTTCTCAGCCCCTAAGAATTGGGGCAAAGGACTGATTGTAAAGTGAAGAAAGCATCCAGCTTTTTAAAGACTGTTTTTTTCGTGCACTTAAATCTTTATACAGTGAATTTCTATAAGTAAGTTCAATTAGAGAATTTGCAAATATATATTGGGAGAGGAACGTACCTCACTTGTGCCATCAGAGAAAATATTTGTATCTTTATATCTTCATAGTTTTTCTTGCCCCCTTAAGCAGCCCACACGTATGAAACTATATCATCATTCTTTGTCTTAATATTGAAATTTATTCTGCTGCATGTTCTTGGAAAACTTCTCTATAGGCTAGAAAGCCAACAATGGTCTTGGCATAGCACTACCATGAAGTGTTCAGGCACTTTTGGTTTTTACAACAGTTTTTCCTAAAACCCTGTGGTTTTAGATTGTTTTCATCATCACAAGAACTGTGGGGACTTTTTTCTTCTGTCTATAAAACAAGTCTGATTCTTCCCCCCAACTCCCTTGTACTATCAAGTTTGCATCAGTTCTCCTTTGAAACAGCAAAACAGAACTGCCTGGATATTCAGAAGTGCTGCTGCTAAATACCTGGCATCATCCTTGCTACTTTCTGTCAGTTTTCCATCTCTTCTTTACACAGCCTTGAAATGTATCACAAATCACCATCGTTCCTGCTAATATTGAATCAGTTACTGTCCCAATCTATAGATCTCATGTGTGCTGTAATTCGGTCGGTCTTACCTGCATTTATAATGTTGGTTTCAGATCCAGGCTGTCTACATCAGCCAGAGAAACAACAGAGACATAAAACACAACATTTCAGAGTCAAAAGGTTTCCTTCACTGCTTTGTGTAATTTCATAAAAGCACTTTTTAAATTTCTTATCCATTTTTATATCTCTGAATGCTTAAATACTTCTAAATAAAGGCGTATATAAGTAAAAATATATATACTATAATAAATATGAAATAGAAATTTTATATATGTAGCCTGCTAGTTGGTATATAGACAGTTAATCACCTTCTCCAGCCCCTGTTAGAAGTAACCTGTGGAACCAAGAGTCAGCAAAGTGGGTATTGAAAACCACTGTGCTAAGATGGGCAGACGTGGTGTTCCCTTTCCATAAAGAGCGTATTGTGGAGTAAGAGCTTCACTCTGCTGTGCAGTGGGGTTTTGATCTATTTACGATTGCACATAAGGTAATTTCCTCTTCTGTTCTTTCTTCAGAGGCCCTGCACCGCCCCTATGGTTGCGATGTTGAACCCCAGGCACTGAATGAAGCCATCCGATGGAGCTCCAAGGAGAACCTGCTCGGAGCCACTGAGAGCGACCCCAATCTCTTTGTTGCACTTTACGATTTTGTAGCAAGTGGCGACAACACGCTCAGCATCACCAAAGGTAAGGGTGTGAATCACAGAGCACCTGCTAGCTTAAAACTTAGCAACAGAAAACGGACTCTTTCCCAGATAGGAGTAGGAATGAGTGCAGTTAGAGAAGATAGTTCTCTAAACTGACGATTATTAGCAGTTTCTCTCTCTCTCTTGTGTTGGAGAGACACCTACTGGGCAGTTCTCCCAGTACAGACACAGCTTTGTGTAACCCTCCAAACAGTCTAGTCCAGCTACAACTACTGTTCCTGGTGTGGGCTCCCCAAATCACTGGCCTGGTGAGACACCTGTTTTGGGGTGGGGCAGAGGAAAACCTTTGAATTATTGATGATAAGAGAATTCAGCACTTTCAAATGGAGCAAAATCAAGAATTAAGAATTGCACAGATTTTCTATTTCTGTTCAGTAGTACATGTATCAGAATATGACTTGTTGCAGAACTGTTTTAAATCAAATGCCGTTTAGGGCTTCAAGATGGAGACAAACCTTATCTCTCCAAGAAGAAGAAATCTTCTCAGTTGATCTTCTTTGAGTTGATCATTCACTTGCAGTAAATTAGGGAACAGTATTCTAGGTATTCTGTCTGAAACTTTACTAAATACTTTATATATAGCAGTTTAGTTATTTCTACTGTTAAGCTGCAAACCCAGGCTTAGTCAGCTGGTAGTTTCTCCCTTAATGAGACCCAGTAGATTGCATTGAGCTTATTTTGCTTTTGAATTTCTGGTCCCAGGTGAGAAGTTGCGAGTCCTGGGTTACAACCAGAACGGTGAATGGAGCGAGGTACGTTCGAAGAACGGGCAGGGCTGGGTACCCAGTAACTACATCACACCCGTGAACAGCCTGGAAAAGCACTCGTGGTACCACGGCCCAGTGTCACGCAGTGCAGCAGAGTATCTGTTGAGCAGTCTCATCAATGGCAGCTTCCTGGTTCGTGAAAGCGAGAGCAGCCCGGGGCAGCTATCCATCTCGCTCAGGTACGAAGGACGTGTTTACCACTACAGGATCAATACCACCTCGGATGGAAAGGTAAGGATCTCTGGATAATGCTGTGGGGAGAGGAAATGAGGATATTCATTAAGAGGTGGTACAGAATCTCAAGTTGCAGATTGTTGAGAGAAAACAGGTACACTGGTTGATTAATAGAACAGAACGAGAGGGAATGGCTTCAAGCTCCAACGGGGTAGGTTTAGATTGAACATTAGGAAAGAATTTTTCACCGAAAGAGTGATAGGGCATTGGAACAGGCTGCTCAGGGAGGGGGTGGAGTCACCATCCCTGGCTGTGTTTAAGGGCCGTTTAGATGCAGTGCTAAGGGACATGGTGTAGGGGAGGACTTTGTAGAGTAGGGAAGATGGTTGGACTCGATGATCCCAAGGGTCTCTTCCAACCTAGACGATTCTATCATTCTAATATAAGAAAAGAACACCAAGATTTTGGTCATAGCTGACTGAACACCACTTAGAAGGAAGTGCAGATGGTACTTACCCTGGCTGAAAACAGTTAGGGAGGAAAGCAGTTGGGATTTGATGTGATATCTTTCCATCGATCCACTTAGAACATGCAGAGGTTTGGTAAGGCAGCAGTTTTGATCAGCATTTGGAAACCTTGATCAAATTAGCAGTACAATGAGTTGAGTGATGCAGAAACTGGCCTTGCGCTTGGCTACAAGAATTCCAGTTTCTAGTACTGTAAAGCACGAGGCAGGAGACATCACTGCTCTCAAGCGATTGCTTGTATGTGGCTGCCTTCTGCAGGTAAAAATCTCACTGATTAATATTAATTTGCCAAACAAGATGAGAACAAATACTCTAAAGTCTGTCTCCCTTACCTTCTTTTTTTCAAACGTGCTAGAATGTTTTTACTGTACCTGTTTTCCAGTGTTACTGAAAGCTCCCAGCTGCCTTCATTTAAGTAGATTCCTGGTTTGTTGTTAACAGGTGTATGTGACAGCAGAGAGCCGTTTCAGCACACTAGCAGAGCTGGTGCACCATCACTCAACAGTAGCAGATGGATTGGTGACAACTTTGCATTATCCAGCACCCAAGTGCAATAAGCCCACTGTCTACGGGGTGTCCCCCATCCATGACAAGTGGGAGATGGAGCGGACTGATATCACCATGAAGCACAAACTTGGGGGAGGGCAGTATGGCGAGGTGTACGTTGGTGTCTGGAAGAAATACAATCTCACAGTTGCTGTGAAAACATTGAAGGTGAGTTGTCAGATTGTCAGATTGTGACGCGCTGTTCATTTGTCACCGTTTATGAGAAGGAATTTTACAAGGAAATTGTAATGCTCTCAATTATACCAGCTAATGATACGAGTATTAGAAAATGGACTGTGCTAATCTGCATAAAAGCTATGCTTGAGAGTAGCTTTGCAGAACAAACTTAGCTTATCAAACTTGCACCAGTGCATGTGGCTTAGAAACAATTTAGAATTTTGGCCCAGCAAGCACTTGCAGGAACTGTATGTCCAGTTCAGACCTGTGGAAATGGTTACCAAGTCCACTTCCCTTCCCTCAGAAGAGCTGTGGAAGCTTTAAGAAATCAAAGGTGTTGGAAATACCTTCTATAACTTACCTGCTAGTCCTGGAAAAAATCAGCTCCTCCATTTATCGTTCTTTTCAAAACCTTCTGTTTGTTTCAACATTAACAGCTACAATTCTACATAGCCCCTAAGTAAAGGAGCTTTCCAGCTTAATTTTTATAGCCAGGCAGGGGAACTGAGTCAGTGATCCTGAGACTCTTCCTCCCACCAGCCACAACTGCTTTGGTAGCCACAAGAGCTGCCAAACAAGAAATCCTAGTGCTTTCTGGGTACTGCAGATCTGTCACTTGGCCATGCTGCAGGCATGTTATATTTTGCTTTCATAAAGGCAAAACCAGCAGAATGGAGACAAGGATACCATCATTTATATTCAGCTAGGATATGTGGTGTTAAGCAGATCTTGGTCATGAAGATAAATTTTTCTCCTTCTGCCTCTGTTTGTCCAGGAAGACACCATGGAGGTGGAAGAGTTCTTGAAAGAAGCTGCTGTGATGAAGGAGATCAAGCACCCAAATCTAGTGCAGTTGTTAGGTTAGTGACATTCCTTGCTCTTTCTGTTTTTGCTTGAGTTTCTGCCAAAGTGAAATCTGTCTCGTTCAGAAGCAGTAGCAGATTTTCTGTGTTTATGTAACTTTTTGAATCAGGTCAGATTGTGGGGTGTTATTTTTGACAGCTTACTCTTTTATGTAGCATTGGAGCTAAGAGGCACTAATTTTAAATAAAACTTCAAATATAGTCACTTACATTAGTACACAACTTTGCTATTGGGCCCCGACTATACATTATATAAAAGTTTGCAATATCAGCCTCATGTTAGTTTATATCCTTGGCCTTAAACATGCTCCAAGGTTCAGTTATCAGGATCAGATTCCTTTTCTGCTGTCTTAAATCAGCAAAATTATTTTCCAAGACTTAATTTTCTGATAGAACAGGACAAAATTATAAGACAATTCAAAGTGAAAAGAAAAAAAATTATATTGGAAGCACAACAAATACCATTTTTCAATACTTCTCAGATCAGAGACTTTTATAGAAAATGCTGCACTGAATAGAACAAGTTAGTCCATAATTAAGCAGAAGACAATCAGGTTTCTGGTGCTGTGAGAGACCCTGTGCATTGCCAAATAAGTACATGAGATGAAGGCAGTGGAGATACAAGTCAGATCAAACAGCACACAAATGGAAGAAATCTGCAGGCTTTACAGCCTGGCTCTGCCCTGTTTGTCTCGCTGGCAAGTGCACGATATGGTGATCACTATTAAATAGTCTGCATAGCTGTTAATTCCACATGTACAAAGATTCTTAAGGAGACACCCTAAACCTTTACTAGTCTTTCATTGTCTCTGGACTTTTGCTGCTCTCAGGAGCAAAGCTGTCAAGCCAAGCCTAGGATGAAAGGAGAAATGTGAAGAATGTGAAGGCTTTTAATAACGGCAACTATTCTGTACCCATCTAAAAAATGGGCACAGAGGAAGTGTCTGCCCAACCCTGTCTGGTTCCAGGAGTAGAGACTAAAAGATTTGTTATCAGAGAGATGCATTGTTGCTCTTTCTGATGCACAGTGTAGTTGTGTTTTACTCCTGTGTGTGAGTAACGGCATGAGCAGGCATTCGGGAGTTGGCAGAGATTTGACATGAGTATCCTGTTGCCCTCCTCCTCCACTAATACATACTTTGTGCATAATTGCAATGACTGTAGCAAGTAGTCATCTGAGGAATGTGTGAGAATGCTGCTTCAGAAGCAGGTCCCACTGTGCTGATCACTTACCCAGCTAGGACACATGGGAGTGCTTCACATTACTCTGCAGTGACATTTCAGTCTGGAAATCTTGCCAGTTGACAGGTACCTGCTTCCAGTTGGCCAGTCTTTAGCTTTATGAAGGGAAAGAGGGGAAGAAAAGCAAATCATACATGTTCAAAATCACAGAATCACAGAATCACAGAATCTTCTAGGTTGGAAGGGACCTTAAAGATCATCTTGTCCAACCGTCAACCTAACTGACAAAAATAGACACCCACACAACAAACAAGGAGCATCATCACTAAACCATACCTCCCAGCACTACATCAACCCGTCTTCTGAACACCTCCAGGGATGGTGCCTCAACCACCTCCCTGGGCAGCCCATTCCAGTGTCTGATAACCCTTTCAGTGAAAAAATTTTTCCTAATATCCAGCCTGAACCTCCCCTGGCGCAACTTGAGGCCATTTCCTCTCGTCCTGTTGCCTGTGACTTGAGAGAAGAGACCGACCCCCATCTCTCTACACCCTCCTTTCAGGTAGTTGTAGAGAGCAATAAGGTCTCCCCTCAGCCTCCTCTTCTCCAGGCTGAATAACCCCAGTTCCCTCAGCCTCTCCTCATAAGACTTATTCTCCAGACCCCTCACCATCTTTGTCGCCCTTCTCTGGACCCGCTCCAGCACCTCAATGTCTTTTTTATGGTAGGGGGCCCAAAACTGGACACTCCTGTTTCATTCTGTAACCCTCCAAAGAACAGAACTAATCCTTCATGTATATTACATGGGAGTAGCGGTGTTTTGATAGACACAAAGTGGATGGACAGATAGACAGAAGCAGAGAATTTTAAGTTGGGTTACATTGATCTTGGTCTTGCAGATGGAAGTCTACAATTTTCAAAGAAACACTCAGTGGTACAAAATGCACCAAGTGTATATTAAATCAGGAATAGTGGTAAGCTAGGGACAAAAGGGAAGCTTTACTCACGTGCTTGCTCCTCACTGCTAGGTGTGTGTACCCTGGAGCCCCCCTTTTACATCGTGACAGAATACATGCCCTATGGGAACCTGCTGGATTATTTACGGGAATGCAACCGGGAGGAAGTGAGTGCTGTCGTGCTGCTCTACATGGCCACCCAGATCTCCTCAGCCATGGAGTACCTGGAGAAGAAGAATTTCATTCACAGGTGGGTAAAGTCACATTCAGCTGGTACAGTTTCAGATTGCAGATGATGTTTTAATCCAATCGTGTAAAGCTGTGCCATAAAGCTGTTACGAGTCTGTGACGAGCTGCTGATCTCATCCCATTCTCAGGAAACAAACTTCTCATTGTAACAGCTCTCATTACTGCAAATGTAATAGAATTTAAGGAATGAAGCCTAATGCTGACTGCTCCTAAGTCCACTCAATTCTCACACTGTTCAAAGCAAATCTCACATTGCCTTTACCTACTGTATTCTTAAGCCCTGCTCTTGCTCCAGTAAAGGAGTGTCCTTTTTCCCTTTTGCACAGGGACCTCGCAGCACGGAACTGCTTAGTTGGAGAAAATCACGTGGTGAAGGTGGCTGACTTTGGCTTGAGTCGACTGATGACTGGAGACACCTACACAGCTCATGCTGGGGCCAAGTTCCCAATCAAATGGACAGCTCCTGAGAGCTTGGCCTATAACACCTTCTCAATCAAATCAGATGTGTGGGGTAAGAAAACTTTACTTCAGTGTTTTTTTTCTTTTCCATTTTGTTTTTCTTTGCCAGCCTAGACAGTAACTTGCTTTCTGGCCTGGGCAGAAACATGGGGAGGAGATGGTCACATGCCAGACCACAACTTCATGAATCAACAGCATTTTTTAGCATACAATGTCTTCACCTAGACAGGCCTGAAATATCTGCAAGAAAAGGATGCTGCCTCAAGCTGCAGTAATGAGCCACAATGTAATGAGCAACACAAAGAGAAGAGCAGATGTATGACCAGGAATTTTGTTTTCCTCTTTTTTTCAGCCTTTGGGGTGCTGTTATGGGAAATTGCTACCTATGGGATGTCACCGTACCCAGGCATTGACCTTTCTCAGGTGTATGATCTGCTGGAAAAGGGCTATCGGATGGAACAACCAGAGGGGTGCCCTCCAAAAGTTTACGAACTGATGAGGGCATGTGAGTATTTTCTTCCAGTTTGAGGGACAAAGCCTGGGAGGGGTGGGAGAAATCTCTAGTTAACTCTGAAGTTCTTGCTGCTTATGTACTATTTTTTTAGCTAATGTGGAAAAGACCCCGTCACCCGTGACATACCTGGTTACTGATGCAAAATGAGTCTGGTCTCTAAGGAACAAGAATTCACTCTCAAAAACTGTCATCTCTGAGTACAGCTAGATAGCACCTTGTGGCAAATTGAACTGGTATTTTGTCAGTAGGACTCCTACTGCAGAACTGCCAAATTTGAAGTTCTCTGCAAACACAGCACCTGTGCAGGAGACATGTAGCTGACAAGGTTGCACAAAATGCATCCCTGAGCATGCTACTCAGTATTGGCCATGAGAAGCTCCCTAATGCTCCATAACAAATGGAAAATCTACTAATAAAAGGCCAAAAGATACAGCGTGCTGCAGGAAGACAGCAACAGAGTTTAAGAGTGTTGCCAATCTCCTTCAGTCCTGCAAGAGCAGACAATAAATTGGGCAAAAAGCTGAAGATTGTAGGGAGCAAACCAGCCTGTGCTGCTGAGTAAGGTCAGCAGCTCTGAGCAGAGAGACCTCCTTGGTGCCAACTCAAGCAGTTTGTGTGGCCTTCAATGTACAAGGCAGACAAAGCAGGGCTTAAGGGGCCATTCTACAGCCCATCCCCATGGTGTCAAGGAAAGTCAGGGTGAACTTCAGTTATGAAACAAAGAAGCTGAATAACGATGAAGGATATTGCTTCAAAAACCCTTCAGGAAGATGACAAAAGCCCCAAAGCAGGGAATTCGTATGATATTGATGTAACCCAATATGAGCAGAACGCCATGATGATATCAACAGATAGTGCTTCTAGAATACATCCCCTAGTGCAGATTTCTAACTACAGAAATTACACTTTTTGTCACAATACCCTTCCATAACTTTCCAGGCACCATCCTAGATCAATGCACTGTCTTCCTCTTTGTGCACACATTCTCCTTTTGGAAGGCTCTGCCTGGGTTTCAGTATTAAGAGCACGTGAGCAGAACGTTGCCCAGAGCTTTGTGCACAGAGTTACCTGTGACTGAGTTAGGTGAGTTCAGTCCAAACAGCTGGACTAGCAAACATGGAATTCTCCTTGGCTGAAAAAATTCAGGAAGAGGGATGGGGAGACTGGAAAAAGCTGTGGAGTTGGCAGAGAGCTAGGACTTCAGAATTGATTCCTTCCTCTCAAGACTTGTTAGGAGGTGACTGACTTGTGGGGTAACTGACTGCTGCTGTGAATTAATATCTGGGAATGACTTTAAAGCCTGTTTAATAGTAGGAGATCAGAGTCATTTTCTTTCTCCTTGGACAGAATTAAAAAAAAAATCATCTCTTACCTTTTCCAGGCATTGAAACTTGCTCTGCTTTCTCCCATTGCAGGTTGGAAGTGGAACCCACCAGACCGACCTTCCTTTGCTGAGACCCACCAGGCCTTTGAAACCATGTTCCACGACTCGAGCATCTCAGAGGGTGAGAGCCTCAGTTGCTTTATTTCTGAACCAGCGCTGGAGTTTAGCCCCAGGGAGATAGGGATGGGCTCTTAAGTCTCATCTGTGAGCTGTGAGAGGCTTTGTCCTGTAATTTCTTGTCTATAAGGCTGCAAACACAGGCTGTTAGTTGGTGCACAAATACTAAATAAACTTCAGTGGTATATCGGTGCAGGGGACATTATAGGAATTCATTTGAGCACCAAGATACCAAAGTGTTATTTAAAGAATTAAAGAATATTGCGTCCTTCATTAGAGAAAGCCTCTTGTTTCCCAGAGTGAAGAGTAAGGAATAGTGAGTGACGCTGAGAGAAAGATGGTGCAGGGGACATTATAGCAATTCATTTGAGCACCAAGTTACCAAAGTGTTAATTAAAGAATTCAAGAATATTGCCTCCTTCATTAGAGGAAGCCTCTTGTTTCCCAGATTGAAGAGTAAGGAATAGTGAGTGATGCTGAGAGAAAGATTTATCTATATCACAGTCCACTACCAACTGCAGCAATTAGGTCATGAAATACTATTCTATCAGCTTTAATTTTTATGAAGTGCGCCTTAATCTCTGGTTTTGCTACTTAGCCACTTCTAGGAGCAAATCTGTGCAACTCAGCTTTCAGATGTAATCAATTAGGAGGTAAATACCAGTGAGAAGTGTGATAGGAGACAGCAGACAAACAGAACTGTCTCAGCATCTTCTAAATTTTTAAATTAAATGTGAAGCTGATCCATCCACTTCCCTACTACAGAAAAAGCACACCAGGTGGAATTCTACCAGGGAAGATCTATGATAGGCACATCAAGTGGCCCACACCAATGCCAGCCTGGGTGGGGCCAGGAGGTTGTGGGTTTTTTCAGTCACATCCCTTGTGTTGATGTTGGGAAGGAAACCTGCAGCCTTCATTTCTCATAGGGAAATTCAGTGCTTTGTCTCAAGCAAAGCAGCTTAGATCCAGATCCAGAGATAACACAAGTTTTGGGGGTTCCCAGGAGCATCAACAGGAGGCACCTTAATTAGAGGCAAATGCATTCAGTGCTGGCTTTAGCCCTTGAGCAATCCTTAACCCAGCTGAGAGCTAGATTTGTACCAGACCCTTTGTACAGAGCTTACCACTGTTGGGATTTTTTTGCTGAATTTATAAAGATGTAAACGAGTTTGAAAGCATTATGAAAAACATCTTATCCTGAATACCTCAGGACTTGAGCAAAAACTGTGTATTTCTTAGTCATGTATCCCTTCTTGCCAGTCTGGGTTTGCAATAAAGACCCAGATTTTTTCTACTTCCTCTGCTAGTCTCTATTCCAACTATTCTTTTTTGCATTTTTTTTTTTTTTTGCCTTCAGAGGTAGCAGAGGAGCTTGGAAGAACAGCCTCCTCCTCATCCATAGTTCCTTACTTGCCTCGCTTACCCATGCTTCCCTCCAAGACTAGAACACTGAAGAAACAGGCAGAGAATAAGGAGAACATTGAAGGAACACAAGATGCTGTGGAGCACTCGGCCTCCAGCTCAGCACCAGGTATGGGCTCTGGGAACAGTGGCAGTGAGGCCACGTGTCCTGGGGTAGGTTTGTGGCTGGTGTAAATTGCCAGAGAAACAAGAGAAAACAGAAAAATGTGACATGGAAGGCGCTTTGCGCTGCGATGTCATTAGGGCTCTTGGCTGCCTCAGCAGCCCAATTCTTTACTAGCAAATAGAAAACACTTCCTAAAGTGTGGTATTTGGGGAAAGAGCAAAAACACTACAGGAAGGGAATGAGAAACTGGAAGAAAAAAGCAACTTCACTTCCTCCTGAATTCTCTCCTAAGTGGCCTCCTCAGTATAGACAACAGACAAGTCACTCATGCAGAAATGGGGAAAAAAAGGTAAAAAAAATCAAAAGCACACCAACCTCACACAAAACTAGAAGTGCTAACTTCCTCTCTCGGTCTCTCCGTGCAGAACTTGGGCAGCTAAATACGCCAGGCTCGTAAAGCCCAGTGCAGGGCAGGGAGGTGGGAATGGAAATGGATTTTGCAGCTTCACGCTTGTTTCTTCTGTCTAGGATTTATCAGAAGCACACAGCCAACGAGTGGGTCTCCTGCGCTGCCTCGCAAGCAGAGGGACAAGTCACCCAGCAGCCTGTTGGAGGATGCCAAAGAGACCACTTTCACCAGGGACAGAAAAGGTGGCTTCTTCAGCTCCTTTATGAAGAAGAGGAATGCCCCCACGCCTCCCAAGCGCAGCAGTTCCTTCCGGGAGATGGAGAATCAGCCCCATAAGAAATACGAGCTGACGGGTAACTTTTCATCTGTTGCTTCCTTGCAGCATGTGGATGGGTTCTCTTTTGCTCCCACGCAGCAGGACGCAAGCCTGGCGCCACCAAAGTGCTATGGTGGGGGCTTTGTGCAGAGGACCTTCTACAATGATGATGGCACTGGCACCAGCAGTGGTGGGGGCGTGAGCACCGGTGGTGGGTGGTCGGGCATCACTGGTTTCTTTACACCACGCTTGATTAAAAAGACACTGGGTTTACGAGCAGGAAAACCCACTGGCAATGAAGAAGCTTCAAAGCCTTTTCCAAGGTCAAACTCTACATCTTCCATGTCCTCAGGGCTTCCAGAGCAGGATAGGATGGCAATGACCCTTCCCAGAAATTCCCAGAGGTCAAAAATCCAGCTGGAACGGACAGTGTCCACCTCCTCTCAGCCTGATGAGAGCACGGGGAAGGCCAATGACCTGCTTCCCAAAAGGTTTGAAGAAGGCCCCGCTTTGACCAGAGAGAGACCAAAAGCAAAACTCTTGCCGAGGGGTGCCACAGCGCTCCCCTTCCGAACCCTCTCCGGATCAGAAGAAAAGGAAGGTCCAGGGCTAGCAGCAGCTCCTAAGGGCAAAGAAAAAAACAGTGGCCCACGGCAAGGGGTCCTTGAGGATGGCGAGAGACCGGGGTGGTCATCTCCAGTAAAGGCTGCAGCAATACTTCCAACCACTCATAACCACAAAGTGCCAGTCCTAATCTCACCCACTCTAAAACACACTCCAGCAGACGTGCAGCTCATTGGCACAGACTCTCAGGGTAATAAATTTAAGCTCTTATCTGAGCATCAGGTCACTTCTTCCGGCGACAGGGACCGGCCCAGACGGGTAAAACCAAAGTGTGCTCCACCTCCACCACCAGTGATGAGGCTCCTACAACAGCCAGCTGCCTGCTCAGATGCAGCGGAAGAGCTGAGCGCCGCGGCGGGAGCGCAGCACGGACTGGAACCAAGCGAAGGCAGTAAGAAGGCAGCAGCAGCAGCAGCACCTGTTGGTGGAAAATCCGGGAGGCCAGTGGTGCCTCCACCTCAAGTGCCTCTGTCATCGTCTTCCACCTCCCCGGTGAAAATGGCCAACGGCACGGCTGGCGCAAAGGTGGCGCTGAGAAAGACCAAACAGGCAGCTGAGAAAATCTCCGCAGACAAAATCAGCAAAGAAGCGCTGCTGGAGTGCGCGGATCTTCTCTCGAGTGCCATCGCCGAGCCCACACCAAACAGCCAGCTGGTGGACACGGGGCACCAGCTGTTGGATTACTGCTCAGGCTACGTGGACTGCATCCCGCATACGCGCAACAAATTTGCCTTCCGGGAAGCCGTGAGCAAACTGGAACTCAGCCTGCAGGAGCTGCAGGTGTCCTCAACAGCTGCTAGCGTCCCTGGGGCAAACCCCGTCCTTAATAACTTATTGTCATGTGTCCAAGAAATCAGCGACGTGGTGCAAAGGTAGCTACTGTCAATCGGGGTAAGAGAAATTACACGCGGGGAGGGGGGGGGGAACTTTTTTTCTGTACTGATGCTTTCAAAAGGAAAGACTGATACTTGAGTATGTGAAGTACCTCAGATCACTGAGTTCTCCTCACGTTTACAGGTTCATCTCAAAAAAATTGGGGATGGAGAGGGTAGATTAAAACTGTAAGGGGCAGAACATCAAGTATTTGTCCCTTACCCAGTCAGTCGGATCTGCTTGGTATGGCAAGGACGTTCCTTGCTCCTCCCTTGGAGAGGCAGGAGAATCGAGGGCAGGTTCTCGCTCGGGGAAGGATGGATTGGTGTGTGATAGCTGGAGTGCCGGGGTGGCTGTACAGACCCTCCCCTGCCTGCACTGAGGCGTGCTTTGGCCTCCTGAGAAGGCAGAGGAAAAGCACTTGGGGCTCCGTTGGCACCCACGGCCGAGCAGCCTGAGCTGGAGGAGCTCTAAAGGGAGGAGTGCGGTTGGGGGAAAGGTCTAATGCACTGACAGTGTTCAGAGCTGCTGGAGGTGGATGCACTAGCCCAGATGGCTTACTTCCACAGCGCTGTTGCTGCTGTAATGAGAACTGCAAAATTAGTTAATATATGAAACTATCCCTTTTCCCTCCTGTCCACCTCATCCACCACATGTTCTCATCTTCGTTGTATCGGAAGCGTCAGGGATGCTGGGCAGAGTTACCACTGGAAAACCCCCTTCCCCACCACACAGCCTTCACTCAGTTCGTACCTATTTCTAGTGGTCTAGCACGGGTGCTGCTTGATGGTCTATTGTGAGTAGTTTGGGGCTCTCGCACAACTTGCCAGTGTTGTTATTGGGGTGGGTGGGTTTGGTTTTTGTTTTTTTTAAGCTCTAGATTGTTTTTAACTCAACTCGTTACCAGGTTGACTCCCCAGTTCAGTTTCCTCACCTGGAGGACCCATGGTAGGTAAGGCAGAGCCTCCTCCACGCGCCCTCGCTGCTGCAGGATCCCCTGACCAGTCCCTACTCTTGGCCTAACGCTAACACTTCACAATGGTGGCTTCCTGGGATTTGTTCTAGCACTTACCGCGCTCGCAGGCTTCCAGCTTCCCTGCCTATGAAGGTGTTGTAGGTACATCGGCACACAGGGCAACCACAGCCATCTTTTTGTATTAATTCCTGTATTTTAAAGGCTAGACCAGAAACTCACGCTGTGGCACAGGGAACTCCTCTGCCCGAGATGTGACAACAAGTGTTACAGCACTGTCTTGGGGAGCTCCCACCGGATCATAGCCCCTGATGCCTATTGACAATCCCAGAAGGAAAGCAGTCGTGTGGTTGAAGTTGTCTTCCATGCTCCTAGTGCTGGTTGTAGACTGTTGTGGCCTCAAAAAGCCGGTCTTCTGCGGATGCGCACAACTCCCCGCAATGTAAATGTACTGGCAAGTGGGAAGACTCAAATAACTGTTGGTTTGTGAGAGAAAGAAAACAAGGCCTGATACCTGGCTGCAAATACCTGTTACCCTGCATGCTGCTGCTCACTTCACACGAGTGGTGATGATAGAGGGTCTGGCTTGCTTTGCACCTTAAATCTTTTATTTTTTGCTAAAACGCTTTTTAAATTTGTTTTTAAAGAAGTGTGACTGTGCTGCTTTTAGTTTGGGAGTTTAGAGTTGAGCTGGGGCACAGGTGTGAATTCAGAAGATGGGCACGTCCATTTCTGTCTAGAACCGTGGCCCTGTTGGTGCTTGGAAGCAGGCTGGGCTGTCTCAGCACGGCCCTGGGGTTTTTTTCATGGAACATGGCAAGAGAGGAGCCTGAAAAACCTTTAGAAATGGGCTGGTGTGTGAGAATCCTCATTTTATTACTGGTCTGTGGTAAGCAAGTTTGCGTCAGGATGGATGAATGCACAACTAGTGGAGCAGTATGTGAGGTAAAATGGACCACGTTGAGCTTCACTGTCCAAGGGAGTGAAATGGTGGAAAAAAACCAACCAAACAAAAGCAATCCATCCCAACTGATAGGCATTAAACTAAATTAATTGTCAGTTTTACTCCAGTGTGCTGGTTCCTAAGCAGGGAGAAATGGAAGTCCAGCATGGAGTTACTCATCCTGGCTTGGCAGTACCCACCAAAACCTGCTGTCTAGTTCTGTGGTAGGATCTTCAGCTTGTCCAGGCCCTCGTGCAGCCCTCGGGTCAGTGGGGTGGGGAAGGCTGTGCTGGGGCTTTTCAACAGCACTGCTCAGCCCAGCGTAAGGCAAAGCACCAAACTGTTATCTCCTAGACTTTACCGAGGGCTTTTCTGGTTTACCTTATCTCTTTCAGTCATCTTTACTGAAGGTTTGTATCGCCGCACGCCAAACTAACTGCCTGGGGAAGGGTGACCTGCAAAGGGGAGAGGGCTTATGGTATTGCTTCACGTGGCCTGTCAAACAATGGGGAGGATGGAGAAGGTCGGGGAGGTTTCTTTGGGGCAGAAGGGCAGCTCTTGTTTGCCCTGGCAGACAATTGCGTGGTTTCATCATTCTACTACTACTCCAGCCTAGGGCAAGCGGACTGAAACTGAAGTGATTCTCAGGGGAAAGGTATTTTAACCAGAAGATTTTAAGGCTCTTAGTCCAGTTCTAAGTCCAGTCTATTTTGAAAGAAGACTTTTTTCTTTTTTTTTTTTTTCCTGAATGCCAGTCTTCCAGAAAAGCTCCAGCAAAAGTGATAGAATAGGAAACAACTCCTGGAATTTCTAACGACTAAAACGCCCCTCTTTTAGCCCCAGCAAAGGACTGGTTCCCCTCCAGTGGTCATATCACACAATCACAGAATCTTAGTGGTTGGAAGGGACCTCCGAGATCATCGAGTCCAACCCCCCAAAAAAACCACAAACACCACAACCACCACAAAACCAACAAACCCAAAACCACCACCCACCAACTAAACCCCACACCCACAACCCTACACACTACACCCCACCACAAACCAATAACCTTGGGCACTAGAGCATGCCCTGAAGAGCCATGTCTACACGTTTCTTAAATACCTCCAGGGATGGTGACTCCACCACCTCCCTGGGCAGGCTGTTCCAGTGCCTGACCACTCTCTCAGTAAAGTAATTCTTTCTAATATCTAATCTGAACCTCCCCTGCTGCAGCTTCAGACCATTACATCTGGTCCTGTCATTATTCCTTTGGGAGAAGAGGCCAACACCCACCTCTCTACATTCTCCTTTCAGGTAGTTGTAGAGGGCAATGAGGTCTCCCCTCAGCCTCCTCTTCTCCAAACTAAACATGCCCAGTTCCTGTGGCAGAGGTGGTGGGCAGTAACACAACTGCTTCTAGGGTGACAGAATGGCTGAGGTTGGAAGGGACCTCTGGAGGTCACCCCGTCCAACCCTTCTGCTCAAGCAGGACCCTCTAGAGCAGGCTGCCTAGGACCATGTCCAGATGACTCCGAGGATGGAGACTCCACAACTTCTGGGCAACACAGATGCCCATTCAGTTCCAATCCCTCCAGTGGGAGGAAAACACAGACCAGAGGAATTAGGGGATTTGCCCATCATCACTGTACAGAGAGCATTTTCTTACCCGTTTTCTTACCCACATCACGGTGGCAGCTGGTGGCAGAGGTAGTGCTGACTTAACACTATTTTCCCTCCCCCTCAAATGGTGGCAGCTGGTGGCAGAGGTAGTGCTGACAATGCTATTTTCCCTCCCCCCCAAACAGGAGGCTGCAGAATTACTGCTGCTTCTGCTGCCCAACAGTGTTTTAGTCCCAAACTGGAGCTCTCCCTGCTGTCTGGCAGGATAACAAAAGGATGGTACCTGGGAAAGCTGGTTCTGCTGTAACTCACCGTTCAGTTGTTCCTCTCCTAACATTGTCACCGGTCCTTCTCCCTTTTGTTAGGTTTGGCTTTCTGTTCAGCCTTAAAGGTCTCCACTGTAGCAGCTTCTCTGCTTTCAGCCTTGCACAGGACGTGCAAAATAACCTAGGGATGGTGAAGCCCTGTTCTTTGTCCCAGTGACGAGCACCTCGTGCTCCACTGATGAGGGTTGTGGGGACAAGGCATAAACTCACACCGACTTCCCTTCCCTCACCCTGTCGGGTGGCCTCGTGGGGTGAGGATGCTTTTGCAGCCAGGTTCTCTCACTTGCACTAGCACGGGCTTAGAATTTGAAGTAGTCTTTGCAACAGGGGAAGGGCATCACGTAGGGCCTGGTAACGCCAAGCACAAAGCATGCGCTCACACGAGGGAGTTGGTGGGGCACTTTCTCTTCCTAGCTCCTGTGGGGAATTAGCTCTCACAGGTGCAATTCTCTTTTCTTCCTGCACTGTACACCCTGTTTAACCCCAGAAGTGGTGCACTCGGCTGTCTGACCGGCGGCACTTCGATTTAATTGTATTCTTCATTAGCGTGGAAAGGGGTGAAGCTGAATTAAGAGTTTGGGTCTTGGGACTGCATCAAATTTAGGCACTGGGAAAGAAGAATTGGATGGAGCAGCATTGCTGATGCAGAACACTAGTTTTGGGGGGGGGGGGGGGGAAGGCACGCTCTCTGTTCCATTCTCCTCACAGAGGACATTTCTCCTGACCACCACGGGCCTTGTGCCAGCGAGCTGCAGTCACACACACGTGTGGTGCCATCCCCTCAGGTGTGCTTACGCAAGAGCTTTGTGGCACACCGCGCTGCGGGCGGGGGGAACTCAACCCCACAGCGTGGGGCAACAGCTGCACCCAAAGTGCTGCATCAAGAGAGCAGCCCCTCCCTAAAAGGCAGGGGGTGTTTGAGCGGGCAGGGTGGGTAACTCTGGGCAGTCCTAAAGAAATCCAGCCCCTGGTGTCCCTACCACTTACCTAAGGCAGGCTGTCCCAGCAGCTCAGGCGCTCCCTGTTTTGCTTGTAGGTGCTCTTGGGCATCAGCAGCTGTGAGAAGCACTAATGAATCCAGAAGATCTTTTTTTTTTTGGTGAATGTATCAGGCTGCTGTCTTCTTTTTTAAAATAACTCAGCCCAGCCCTGCTGCTAATCAGTGGCTGGCAGGAAAATTGAAAGGCAGTGACTACAGCCTGCTCGGAAACCTCCCGCATCTAGCAGGGATGGGCGCCGGGGCTGCACTCCAATTGCCTGTTGTGTAGAACAAAACCTTCAGCCTGTTCCCTGGTGGTAGGAAATAAGAGGTTATGGGACACCTGACTTATATTTCTAATACCTACCCGATAAGAAATGTCTGTACCAAAGGAGGTCATTCTTCCAAATGTGTCTGTTGTGCACGGGAGGTGAAGCCCGATGGGCTCAGCACGCTGTTTGTATCAGTAGTGAACTCGTTGAGGGCAGGAATGGATTAAAATGAAACACGTTAATCACCAATCACTCTACCAGTGTTGTCAACTGTTTTTGTTTTTAATTGTTATTGTAATATATTTTGGTTGTTTTTCTAATTTAATTCTCTCACTATCGTCTGACTGTGAACTGCAAACAGTGTTAAACTTGATGTAAATAAGGCCCTTTGAAGGGCCTCTTTGCCTGTCGTTCCACAAAGTTTTGCCAATTTGCATTTTGTTTTAAATAAAGGTTGCAATATTTTATTGGCAAAAAACACTTGAGTGTATGCTCCTTTTTTTTTTTCTTAAGGAATATTTGAAGCTGCTCAGTACTAACCTGAAGTTTGTTGGTTTGGGTAGAAAAGATGATTATAAACCTGTTATAAAGGGAAAGCATTTAATTCTGCCAAATTGCAAAGAAAAACAGTATCTTTATTTATGCCTTTAAACCCAAACGCTGCCGTGGAGTGGTCAGAGAGGGGTGCTTGCTGTTGGGGTTGCATAATCAAATGCTCACTTAATTCTCAAACACACACGAGTGTGACCGGGCGGAGCACTGAGTCTTGCATCATCAGGTTGACAGTTGCCCTCGTTAGTAACACCACCACCTCCTTAATCAGTAACAGAGTAAGAGCTGCTTAACGAGCCAACTTGGCAAAATGGCTGACATAATCAAATGCTCACTTAATTCTCAAACACACACGAGTGTGACCGGGCGGAGCACTGAGTCTTGCATCATCAGGTTGACAGTTGCCCTCGTTAGTAACACCACCACCTCCTTAATCAGTAACAGAGTAAGAGCTGCTTAACGAGCCAACTTGGCAAAATGGCTGACAAAAATCACTCCATCCCACTCCAAACAGAATCAGTCTAACCTGGGCAGCTGAAGATTCTTTTCCATTTAAAAAAAAAATCATAGGTTATCCTGGCTTATACAACCTTTGAAGCAACTAACTAACAACTTTCTAAACCTTCTGATCAGGTGATAAAAACCACACACCCCCCCTTCCATGGGGCTGCACCCTGCCTTCCCCAGCTGACTTCCCTGGGGAAGCCTCCCCGCTTTCCTGGGCTGAAGCCTTTGGTTTGACACTCGTGATTAAGAAAGAGAGAAACCAAATCTTAGCAACACCTGATGGTAACCGTGTGCGCTGTCACGGGCCCTCAGGTCCAACCTAGAGACAACAGGTAAGTTTTAAACTAACTTGACAGTAAAAAAGCGACTGGCTTCTCTTCCTGCCTTGGACTATGAAGCCTGGTGAGATACCAGAGCCAGCGTGCCTGCAGGGAAACACAAAACTAAGTGTGTCTGGTCAATCTTTTCCCAGAGGTCGTGCTGCTCACCACTGGAACCACAGAGAGGTCCAAACCTTCAAATAGATCAAAAGTCCACCTGTGGGTCTGCCCCAGGAGCTCAGCCCTGTCCTTGGCGTGTGCTGTGTCACCGCATCGCCCCAGCCCAGCGGTGTTGGAAGGGAGTTTTGACCCAGAGGTCACAAAGCCATTCCCGTAACACTGTTGAAATTTTTTTTGGTCCTGCTTTAACGTACTTATCACCTGGCAAGTACCCAGACAGCAAACAGCACCTTGGTGTAGTAATGCTGATACCAGCCAGAAAAAACCACAGCATGCAACATACTGGGGAAAAAAAAAAAACCAACCAAAAAGACCAAACAATAATCCCAAACTCACTGCATCCCTGAAAACCTGACTTCAGTTGCAGCCTGCTCCTCAGCCACTGTCCTCCTCAACCGCCCTCAAAAGGGGAACTAGTCTCCCCTTTTTTGTTTTGCAGTGAAACAAAGAGGCTTTTCACCAAACTACTTAGAAAAGTTATTTCAGCCGAAGTTCACCTCATCCCCGCAGCTGCTTCCATACAACAGAAGACTCCAATGAGAGAGGGACACTCCAAAGTGAGAGGCTTTGGATTTGACATCTCCAGAGAAGATTATTCAGTCATTTTCTCTACTCAAGGGTCTCCCTGCACAAACCACGATCCCTGCAGGGGTTTCCCTGAGCGACAGACCCCACATGAGTGCAGGAGAGCAATAGAGAGGAAAAACTCAACTCCAGCAAAACAGTTCTGTGCAACCTTGTGAAGTGACAGAGAAGAGTGGGGACTGGGATGAGGACATGGCTTCTCCTGGGCTGTCTCCACAGCACTGGTCTGTCCAAGGCCTTCGTTACACGGTAACGAGCCAAGGACTTGGACATCCCCGCTCACATGAGGGGACAAAGCATCTGTCAGCACAACCAAATCACCACTGCAGGACACTGCCTGCTAGAAAAAGTGACTTTAAAACACAGGACAGACTTCAAAGGGGGCGCCTCCTTCCCTGCAAACAGCCCTCACAGTGACAAGGGGTTAAGTCTCTGTCCCTGGGGAAGAGCAGGGCTGGGCAACCAGTTTGCCCAACCTCATGCAAAGGAGAGCAGCTCCTGGTGTGGAGAACCACCTTCACCCACCACGGTGTAAGTTCTCCCACCTGGTGTTCAAGGAAGGAAGTAATTGATGCGCTGGGATACAGATTTACATCCCTGTGCAGAAAACAGCTTCTCCTCTTTGGGGACAAACACCATCATCCTGGCCACCTCGTCGAGGGCTGCCTCGGTGTAGGGAAGTCCTCGGGCCAGGAAAGCATCTCGTGCGCAGAGCTTCACGTGGTGGTACTCCAGAGGCAGGAACGGCACGAAGAAATCAATGAGGTTCTCCTTGAGGAGGTGGCTGTGGGCATAACTGTTCTCTGGAGGAAAAAGGAAGGCAGAAACTTCAGAAGCTTCATCTGAGAGCTGGCATTCCCCTGGGAGGTGAGACTTGTCTGTCTGGGGAGGCTGTCTTGGCTCATCCAGCCGTATGTGGTGGAACAGAAATACCCTTCCACTTGTGAAGAGTTGGCCAGCACTTTGTCTGGGCACAGAACATCCCCACGGCTTGCCCACCTCAGGCCAAGAGAAGCCTGAATTCCCAAAGAATTGCCTCTTGCAACCTGGCTTTCAGGGCTGAAAGGGGCAAGAAGGACCCCCAGCTCCCCCCCCGGTGGGCCTGGCTGGTGCTGTGCTCCTGGGGCTGGGCTAATGTGGATGAAGGAAGGGGCTCAAGTTGTAAATAACCCCAGGGTGGGGATTGGAATAAAGGCCCGTTGCACAGCACACACGCTTGTGCAACACAAGGTGGGTGGGACTGTGTAAGCAAGGCCCCAAGCCGGCGTGGAGGAGCAGGTGTGGGGGTAGCCTGCCCCACCATCCCACCAGTGAGCCCAGCTCTCACCTGCAGGCTCCTGCAGCTCCAGCCGCAGCCGCTGCTCCAGGAACTCCATGGAGATCTCCTCCCGTGCCCGGCCGGCTCGCCAGAAGTCCAGGGCTACCTCGTTGATGGTGTTGCCCCCGAGATTGCTGCAGACAGAAGAGAAGATTGGAGATTAGGAGAGGGTTCTTCACTGTGAGGGTGGTGGAGCACTGGAACAGGTTGCCCAGGGAGGTGGTTGAGGCCCCTTCCCTGGAGATATTCAAGGAGAGGCTGGATGAGGCCCTGGGCAACCTGGTCTAGTTGGGGGTGTCCCTGCTGACTGCGGGGAGGTCGGACTAGATGACCTTTGGAGGTCCCTTCCGGCCTGGGCAATTCTATTCTATGATTCTATTCTATTCTAAGTCACTTACCCATGCCCCTAGAGATGAACTGCTGAGAGCAGCCAGCAGCCTCCCCGACAGACAGACCTCACCAATTGTTAGCAATGAAGGATTTACCATGTAGTACCATGTAGCATCAGCATCTGAAACATTCAGAAGAACCCACTTTCTTCCCAAAGAGGCCCTTTCCACAGGCATCTATACAGCTGCCTTCCATCTTGCCAGCCCAGCCCCTGAGGGCAGCTGCTTTCTCTCCCAGGGCAGGACCAGGAGCCAGGAAAATCCTCTATCTCCGACAGTCCACTGTCCTACTTGCGTGCCATGGACCTCGCAGGTGACACTTGGCTCCACACCAAACACTCAACAAGCCAACCCTGAAAGTCCAAGTTGGAAGGCAGAGCACATGGCAGGAGTCCCACTAGAAGTAAAGGTCCGGGGCAGGGATTCTAGCAGCAGCCCAGGACTTGGCAAAGCACCCACCGCCCGAGGGACAAAGCAGTGCAGCTCCCACGTGAGGGCTCCTCTGGACACCCACTGGGGGGGCAGCTCTGGGCTGGGGTGCACGGGTCCTGAGAGTCATTAAGGCTCCTGGGCAGCCCCTCACCTCAGAAAGCAGTTTGAGGCCAGGCAGCCCCTGGGTGCTGGTGAGGGGTTTGCAATGTCCTCAGACAACAGCCCCCAGCCCCGAGTGCCCCACCACCAGTGAGCTGGTGATACTGGGAACCAAATGGCTGCAGGGCTTGTGCAGGTGGGAGGGAGAGACACTGGGAGACACAGATCTTGCACCCATCTTTCCTCTCATGGCAGAGGCTCTGGAGCCATTCCTCAAACGGAGGGGAGGCAAAATTAAAAAGCTGCCACTGTTTTTCCCTCACTACTTTATAGGGGTGAAAGAGCTCATACCAATCCTGCTCCCACCCAGACCACAGGAGAAACAGTCCCTTTTGACTGAGGACAGGCAACCAGTCCCACCCCATCCCCATCACTCAAACCTGGCCGAAGCTGTAGGACCAAGCCAGGGTCCACATGAGCCGTGGGGAAGAGCCAGCCCTCCTCTGTGTCACACTGCCACCAGTATGATGAAATACCTACCAAGATGTCACGTTGCTGCAGTTCAAGGCACCCTGCTCTGCTCTGCTTGGTGGCACCAAGGGGCTGACATCACACCACCCCCCTCACCTGGACTGCTTGCCAGGTAGGACACAAGGCCAGCTGAGCGCAGCCGGCAGCACGTCCACCCTGCCCCGAGCAACAAGGGAGAATCTGCCCCCTCCACCACGGCTCCTGCTGGAGGACCACGCAGGTTGGATTAAAACGTGGCCAGCTCCACAAGCACCCGGCACAGATACAGGCCTTCCATTGGCAGAGAAACTTCCCTGGGGAACCACCAAGCTTGGAGGTTAGAACTCTCACCCAATGGTGGGAGATGGAGAAAGAGTGGAGCCATCTCCAGCCTGTGAGAACACCTCTTGCCAGAGCCAAGCTGAAGGCTCTAAGTCCTAAACTGAAGGGGGATCAAGATGCTTGTCTCTCCTTGGCATTTCTCACCAGCTACTTCAGGCACGTGCCCACCTCACATCTCAGTTTTGAGATGTTCCACTTCTCCCCCTAGATATGTCCCACCTAGGCCTGGGTCAGAGGCAGCACTGGGGTGGCACACATGCCAAAAACCTTCCTCCCTCTGGATGGGAAAGGAACCAACCTCTGATCACTAAGCCACGGGGTGAGCCAATGCCAGGATCAGCCCTTGCAGTACAGCAGACAGATGGCACCTCAGCCAGGCAGCAGAAAATCCCCACCTCCAGCTCCCAGCTAACTGTGCCACACTGTACAAGAACTTCTCACCAAGACCTGAAGCCCCAGCTTTGTTCCCTGGAATATGGGATCTCCCTGCTTGGCTGTCCAGGGTGACACAACGCTAGCTCTGACCTTCACTGGTTCCTTGTCTCAAAGACTAGACAGTGGCTGGGGTGTCCCAGCTAAGCTGGACCTCAGCTCCTCCTGCAAATGCCCTGTACCCAGGCAGGATGCCCAGCGTCAATATGCAAGACTGACCATGGAGGCAATCACCTCTTGGAGGAGCTAGACATCTCTTTCCCCTCCTCTACAGCCTGAGCTCCTCATAACACACACCTCAGGGGACAAATTCTATCACTTCGTTCCCCCCATGCCTTTGGGGGCCCAGGAATCACCTGAGGAAGAGGAAGATGGATCTCCGATAATCCTCCTGGCCCTTGTTGTCATAGTGAGCCATGAAGGGCTTGATGGCATCCAGGAGGCTGAAATGAAGTTTCTCCGCCTCATCGAAGATGAACAAGGCCTGCTTGCAGAGCTGCACAGTCTCGCTTACCTGCTTCTTCAGCTGAGCCTGCAGAGCAGCAGGGAGGAGTGTGAGAAACACAGCAGCAGCCACCAGACCACGGTGCAGGGGCTGAGCCTGGATGCCATGGGTTGAGCCTGGCTGGCACCTAAGCACCACACAGCTGCTTGCGGGCTCTCTCTCACCCAACGGGACCGGGCAGAGAACAGGAAGAGCAAAAGCAAGTAAACATGTGGGTCAAGATAAAGATAGTTTAATAACAAAAGGAAACAGGAAAAATAAAGAAAGAAATCAAAGCAAGTGATGCAAAGGCGATCACTCACACCTACCACTGACACCCAGCCAGTCTCTGAGCAATAGCTTCCTACCCCAAAACTGCTTCCCATCAGTTTTTATTGCTGAGCACGACATTAAATGGCATAGAATATCCCTTTGGTCAGCTGAGGTCAGCTCTCCAGAGTGTGTGCCCCCAGCTTCTCGCAAACCCCCAAACTACTAACTACGAGGGCAGAGAGGGAGGAGGAGGAGGCAGCCTTGAGGCTGTGCAAGCACTGCTCAGCAGAAGCCAAACACCAGTGTGTTATCAACACTGTGTTACTCACGAATCCAAAACACAGCACTGTATGGGCTGCTGTGAAGAAAATGAACACCATCCCAGCCATACCCAGCACACTGGACCACCCCCACAGCAACGCCACGCTGTTGGCTCTCACCTTGTACAAGTCCACGTACTTGTGATGGGGGAAGTGGAAAAGGGAGATGAACAACCTGACGCACTCGCTCTTCATCCCATCCCGGTAAAGATGACTGGCCACCATTCGAGCCACAAAGTTCTTGCCTGTGCCAGACCAACCGTGCAAGGAGAGGACCAGAGGCTTCTCTGGCCGTGGGCTCTGCAGGAACCCATGCACCGCCCGGACGATGACTTCTTTGGCCAAGTGCTGCCCGTGGAGCTGCCCGTTAAGGTCTGCTTCTAGCCCTGCAGGAAAGGGAGCAAGAGCTCAGCTTTAACTTGCAATCCCAGCTGCTGGTGGGAATAAGAGGAGGTAACAAGTCAGGCACTAAGCCCACACAGCCCTGTTTGGTGGGGCTGCCTGTCTGAGAGGAATCTAAAGTGGCATTAAAGCCACAGGGTTAATGAGGCAGGGTGCCTGTACCCTGCCTGCAGAAGCCACTGACTGTGAAACGACACAGATCTTCCACTGACTCCTTTTTTCCAAAGGGGAAAGTGGTATTTGAGACTGCAGAGAGCATGGAATCCCACAGGCTTGGCTCTCACCTTGTACAAGTCCACGTACTTGTGATGGGGGAAGTGGAAAAGGGAGATGAACAACCTGACGCACTCGCTCTTCATCCCATCCCGGTAAAGATGACTGGCCACCATTCGAGCCACAAAGTTCTTGCCTGTGCCAGACCAACCGTGCAAGGAGAGGACCAGAGGCTTCTCTGGCCGTGGGCTCTGCAGGAACCCATGCACCGCCCGGACGATGACTTCTTTGGCCAAGTGCTGCCCGTGGAGCTGCCCGTTAAGGTCTGCTTCTAGCCCTGCAGGAAAGGGAGCAAGAGCTCAGCTTTAACTTGCAATCCCAGCTGCTGGTGGGAATAAGAGGAGGTAACAAGTCAGGCACTAAGCCCACACAGCCCTGTTTGGTGGGGCTGCCTGTCTGAGAGGAATCTAAAGTGGCATTAAAGCCACAGGGTTAATGTGGCAGGGTGCCTGTACCCTGCCTGCATCAGCCACTGACTGCGAAACGACACAGATCTTCTACTGACTCCTTTTTTCCAAAGGGGAAGGGGGTATTTGAGACTGCAGAGAGCCTGGAATCCCACAGGTTCTCACAAGCTCCCAGGACAGGGTATGGATATCAAAAGTTTCAGGGCCAGCAAAACACAATGACAGGGCTTACACACAGCTCTTGGTGTACCCTCCTGTTTGGAACCTACTGCATATGCCTGGGGGCTACTGGATGAAGACAGGGCTCGTGGCAAACCAGAGCAGATATGCTGTACAGTAAGGAGCAAACTCTCTTGCAGTCTCAGAACTACAAATTAATAATGGGAAAGGGGAGCTTACACACAGCTCTTGGTGTACCCTCCTGACCCAGGGCTGGATATTTGGGCCAGTTTGGAACCTACTGCATATGCCTGGGGGCTACTGGATGAAGACAGGGCTCGTGGCAAACCAGAGCAGATATGCTGTACAGTAAGGAGCAAACTCTCTTGCAGTCTCAGAACTACAAATTAATAATGGGAAAGGGGACATAGCTCAGCCCCTTGCCCTCCCACTGGCTCAGCACCCTGCTTGGAAATGCCCTTTACTTACACAGCTTGTTAAAATATACTTCAAAAGGAAAAAAAACCAAACCAGCAACCCACAAACAAACAACAAAGAAGACAACAGGGAGAGGCAGCAGAGACAAGCACTGCTTGGGGTCTCCCTCGCGCAGCACAGCACCTACCTGTGATATTGTTGACTATCCTGCAATCTCCTGTCTCACAGCACTTGCCAAAGCTGCAGTACCAGGCAGAGAGGATCTCCAGGTAATTCTGGCCCACCAGAGGCAAGGTCCAGCCTGGAAAAGGCAGCAGTCTGAACACATACGTGCCAACAAGTGTCTTTTTTGTATTTTGTGTGGATGCTCAGCTGAGCTTGATTAAGGGCAGCCCTCCTCCCAGGTGCAGGGGATCAGACACTGCCCCACCGGGCAGCCTGGGCTGTGGGGAGGGGGAATAAGCACATAATGAGCAACAGCTGGCTCAGGTGGGAACAGAGAGACATGTTTGTGGCAACAAACCCCGGATTTGTGGCAAGCTGGGGTACACTGAGTGAGAAGGGAAGATGCCCAGCGCAGCAACCTTTGGGAAGGGAAGGACAGCATCCACAGGAGCTGGGGACCCAGACCCCTGTGCTGGGGAAAGTGGGGTGTTCAGAACCTAAGCACGGGAAATGGAGAGAAAGAAAAAAGGTGCTTACCTGGCCTGGGATGGGACTTTTCCTCCTTCTCCTCTTCGCAGCCCTCCTGCCACACCTTGCACGCCAGGTACCGCCAATACTGCTTGGAGAGAGCACCCACAGCTCCCAAGTGCTTCTTCACCGCTTCGTACTTCGCCCTGCCCCACGGTCCCCCCTCTGCCACAGGGCCCTGCTCCTCTTCCTGGGGTCCCCGTGCCTTCCCTTGTCTCCCCAGCACCCCCGAGAGCAGCAGCAGGCAGCAGGCCAGCCCCAGGCGGGCTGGGAGCCTGCCCTGGCCCATGGTGGTGGGTTGGGGATCCCCAGTGGGGTGGGAGCAGACCCTGCCCCGGCTCTGCTGGGTGTCCGCGGGCTCCCGGCCTTCCTTAAACTGCCCGAGCCGTGATCTCACTTCCTGGCCGCCTGCAATTGGAGTCGCTGGTGGAGGGGAAAGCCGTGGGGTGGTGTCACCGCCACAGCAGACATGGCCTGGTGCCCACCTGGACCTTGTCCCCACACACAGAGACCCCACCGCCCTCCCCGGCACTGGGGGGCCGAGACGGCTCCGGCCGGCGCCGCGCTGCAAAACTCAACCCTGTTCCCCAAAAAGAGGCGTCAGGCACCGCTCCGGTCTCTGTTCTGCACAAAACTCAGAGTCAGTCCTCCTGCCAGGTCCTGCAAACCCTCTCGCTGGGAAGGGAGGCGAGCGGCTCCTTTTCCAGCCGGGCTGGAGAGATCCTTAAGGAAGCTCCCCCACGCCGTTACCAGCCTTGCTCACGCCCAGCTGCGCCGCTGCAGCCTCCCTCCGGCCTCACCGCAACAACAAATGCCCAGGGAAGGCTAATAACCTGGTTTTTAAGTAGCCCAGCAGCTCAACCGACGTTTTGCCGCCACAAAACGTGAGAGGCGTTGGCGGTTGTTGCTCGCCAGGGTCATTTCCAAGGGGATACGAAAATAACAGGAATAAACAAGGGAGCAGGAGGCAGCGGATGAGCTGGACGGGCAGCACCAGGAGCTGCACCGCGCTGCGAGTTCTGTTTAACAATTAAATCAAAGCTCTGGGACAAACGGTGTTGTTGCTGGCTCTGGGATGGGCTGGCCGTGTGACACCAGATTTGTGTCGTTCCTCATCAACCCCAAGAAGCACTGCCGTTTAGTTTTACATCAGGGCATCTTCATACACCAGTACATCCAAACACTAAGACAGAGAGGGTGGGCTCCACTCAAGCAGCCAGGAAAAAAGAATATTCAGATCAACACAGAACCACCATGAAATCGTGTACAAGAACTGAGGTACAACTCATTATCACCACCAACAGCCAGTTTTCTGTAAACCCCCTCCTGTATGGGGAAGCAGCAAGTGCAGTACTCAGGGCTGGCTGCCTGTGCTTTGGTAGGAGATTCTAAGATCCCATCCAAGCCCTGGCTTTGATTTTGGAAACAGGTAACACAAACTCAGCTGTGGAGGGGAGATGAAAAGTGGGGAAGTCTCATATAACTTGCATTTTACCTTAAGCTGTACCCACTGCTGGCTTGCTATAAAAGATTAACACCTCTACAAGTGACTGAGCATCAGGAGATGTCCACCTAACCAAGATGAGGCCAAAGTGTTTTGGACGTGGAAAAAATTTCAAGGTTATCTATCCTACATGCTCACAAAAATAAAAATTAGAAGGGTATTAAATGCAATTCATCCAGCCTGGCAATTCACTCATTCAGGTGGATGGGAAGTGGGATCCAGCACTGCCAAGGCATGGAGTGGAGCATATCACCATCTACAGGTGGCTACAAACATTACAGATTGGCATTAAAGACTGGTATTAACAAAATTGCCCCCTCCGACTTCAAAAATAGCAAGGCTAAAACCCTAACATCAGTGCAATGACTTAAACAGAACTAAAACCAGTGCATATTTTAAAAAATCAATTGAAAATTGAACTCACTGTAGCCATAGCAAATTAATTAACCATTAATTAACTATCAGCCTTTCTGAAAACTAATTGAAGCATCTGAATTGGAGCTTTACATACATTTATAAAAAAGAGAAAAAAAATCATAGCTGTAACATTCAAACTCCAGTCCCAGCGATAAGTGCCTGAGCTGAAAAGAGCTTATCAAAAGGGACAGACTTCATAAAAAATAGGTGCTTCCATGTTACAAAGGAGAAAAGTGAGTTCTGAAAGATAAAACAACTGACTGTCCAACATCACACCAGCTCCACAGTACTACAGCATAATTCCTGGGATGTCAGTATCGCCCAAGGGCAGCCCATCATAAGAGATAGAGGGGAAAATAAAAATAGTTGTTTAGTAACCTGCCAGCTCTACCCTGTCTGACCTGGCTCTGAGGTTAACAAGACACTGATGGAAGGGGAGAGAGGGAGAAAAAAAATCCACTCCCCTGACTAATTCAGTTCCCTTTGTGGGGCCATAAGGAGGAATTTATCCCCATGGACTAGATGGGAAGTTGTGGGAGACTGGAAGAGATCTTAGTGCACTGCACTGAGAACTCACTCATACCTGACTTGGGAAGGCTTGGAAGCACAGCAGTCAATGTCTTCCTACAGCTTGCTGGGATTATATCATCTCCTTTTTTTTTTTTCCTGCTTCCTCTGCTGAATCTCAAACACTCACTATAGCATTTGCTAATCTTCATCTGACAGTCTCGCAGGAGGAGGTAGCTGCAGGGATCTGCACGGCCCCAGAGATGATACTAGGACACAAAGCTCTTCACCTCACAACTGGTTATTCCAAAGCAGTCCTGGTGAGCAGCAACCACCTGAATAAAAATCCACGATCTCAGGTCAAGTCAAGTCTCACAGTGCAGGTATCATCTAAAAAGAAAGAAAAAACAGCACCACAAAAACGTGTTTATGTCTGGCTTATTCAGCACCCCTAACACAATTCGGTACAAGCAAACACTCAGAGGGAACCTTGCAATCCAGGATTTTATGGTACAGGAACTGTGCATCCATCCTTTTATGGTTTTCCCAGTTTCCATACAGCAATTCCTTCTGCACATCCATAGATGAACTCTGACAGACAGCAGGAGAGTCTCTCTCCAGCAGCTCAGTGTAACACAGCTATGGATTAGATCATTAAATAAAAGGAAGATCTGGAATAAAGGATATGAGGGGAGTCCTTCCCTCTCTTTCCTTTAGGTTTTCTTCCCCACAAAGTCCTATCCCCAGTCTCTCTAAAATATTGAGAGATGCCACAAAGAAAAAAGCAACAGAGTACCAGCCCTACACATGAGGTATATGAACCAAGAACTTATTTTAATTTCTAATTATCAGAATCAATAAAAATTTGTAGGGAAAGAATTTGAAAGAAATTCAGGGAAAGTGCTAATTTTCAAAACCCTTTTGTTTTCTATTGGCTTAAAGCTTTTTTTTTGTTCATTCTTCTGTAAAATTATGTTCGTTACATAATCAGAAACACTTTAAAATCTTCCTGTTACATGAATTCTCACGCTGTTACTAAGGCAAACCACTCCAAAATTACATAGCAGTAATACAACAAAGTGCTTGTAAAAACAGCTCTCAAAAGTAGCTATTTCAGCCTTTCAAAACTTACAAGCATCTGTAGTTTCTGCAAGTTGTTGAGCTGCTTACACACAAGCAAGAATCCTTGGCCTGCTCCCTGAGGGAACTGGCACCTCAAAAATAGAGATGGAGGATATGAAATAATATTGTCACTACACAATGCTAGGAGACAAAAAAACCCAGAATATCATCCCCCCCTTTAAAAGCCCCAGAACAAAACCCCAAAATTAGTTCTTACAAAATTCAGCAATGCTGCAGTCCAAAGCTTCAAGTGAGAAACTCTGGTTCAAAAAAAGCAGGTGCCTTTAGTGTTTCACACCACCCTGCTGGTGCTACAGGCCAGGTCAAAGACCATACCTGCACTTCCAGGAGCCTTGGTGGTTTTGTGGTGTCCTGTCCCCAGGAGCCATATGGGGTGGTGTCAGCAGCGCCCACAGTCCTCAGCAACTCTTGGTGGCTTCCAAATGCCTGATGCTCAGAACCATGTGCATCACCTCCCACCTCTGAAAAGATCTCTGCAGTGGGTTATTAAGAAAACAAGCTCTGACACAGCCACATTAAACCCCTGTGCTCTGTGGGAACAGATTTTGATGGCTGTTTACTTGTCCCATCTGATGAAAGGGCTTCAATAAAACCTGAGAAAAGCCAACCATGAACACCTGCCAACTCTATATCCATCTCTTGCCAACTCAATATACACCCTTGCTCTGGATAACAACGCCAACCTATTGGGACACAACCAAGAAACCAGCCTGGGTGCTTGCAGATGCAGGGCCATGGGGAGCACTTTCAAAAGCAAAAAATGCTTGCTCTTTGAAGATCACTTAAAGCTAGATGTGTTCTTCTTTTATGTCACTTTGGGACAGCCTTTCTTCAACATATCTTTCCTTACCAACAAAGAAAGCTCTTGCAAACAACCTGCACGTTTGACCCCATCCTTGGAAATACGTAACTGGAATAAATGCCATAGATAACTATTAGTGAAGAAATAACCCAGTAGCAAAATGGTCTAAACATTCAGCCCACCACATGTTGGAACAAGAGAGAGAGAGACAGGAGGGGAAGAGCGAGAGACTTAAACAATCCATCAATGTTGCTTTATTAAAATCTTTATTCACACAATGTTGCTTTATGCGGAATCTGACCCCAGGGGATACAAGTAGAAAGTCATGATTGCATTCTGTTTTCTTATTAGCAACCTCCATTTGTGCAGCTGCTCCCAGGGGCAATCCTCTGACAGCTCCAAGAGGGGTGTCTGTTTCAAGCATCTTGCTCCAGCTGCCACAGCAAATAAATTACCTTCTTAATAAATTAGTATTTTTCAGTTGAAGTTTGTTTGGCAAGACACACTCCAGTTCATTAGCTGCTGGAAGAGGAGCCGACTTCAGTGTCTCCTCCAGCCCAACTGCTGACTTCGGAAGGAGGAGATAAATAGCAGATGGCTGATGATGCTCTCCTTTTAATTAGTTCTTGATTTCTGTGCTTCAAGCGCTCTGATATTACTAATATCCACAACCCAACCATTTTGTAACATCTGGAGCCAGCGGATTACGGCGTGCACAGTGAACAAGGATCAGAAGTCGTCATGAAAACCTCATTGACAGCACACAGCACCTGCCTCACAAATGACACTGTTTTTCAGAGATTCAAGCAGACCCTGTTTGCATGTGGATGCTGCTTATTTCCTTTGCAATGGTTACAATTGATTTTAAAATTTCTCAGGGTTCTGTATTGAAGCAAGACAACGATCGCTGCCAAAATGACAGAGGTTATCAAAAGGCCAAGATCAGATCTTCCTGATTTTGGGTAAGGGAGGAATTTATTCTTTCCTGCTGCAGAA